GCGTGCACGAGCGCGCGCTAATGACGCCATAAATTATGTGCAGTAAGGATGCACGATGCAAATGTGAGGAATGACCTTAATCTGTCTCAATTATCTTATCAAGTTATCGCTAATGCTACATCCGATAGCATCTCATTACCCTTGTGTAAATTGTTTTCTTGAAATACTTTCGATAAGGTAATAAAAAGAAATGTTTTGAGTTTATTCTTGAAACCCAGTCTTCCGCAGATTGTGGATATAGACCAACTTTCAAATTTTGCTACTTAAAGAGTGTAGAAACAACGAACTTCAAACTCAGTGACTTTTCCCAAAATATGGGTATAAGATTTCACTGTTGTCATCTTGAAATATTTTTGTTAACTGTTTTGTTGGTGTATGAGCAGTTGTAAACATCGTCACGGCGGATCCAAAATGGTGTCTGTTTTGAAATAATGACGCCATTTCTACGTCATATGACGCCAGCATTCTATGTTACGGGTACCTAAAATTTTTTTTGGAGCCCCGCCCCTACGTCACCTCGTTAATACGGCCAGAACGTTTTTGTCCCGGCGCAACGCCCATACATTAAGCAATACCCTGAGCATACTAAGTGTTGCAGAGCGTAGTCCTTAAAAACTACCCTCCACAGAAATGGGTTAAAATTAAGCTACTAGGGCCAAAATTTCCTCCGCCCTTGTTCTTCCGTCGAATAATTTCATCTAATTCTCTTTGTCTATTTTGAACCGCAGTAATGAACTATTCTTAGTTAACAGTCGGCTGTATATATACAAACCGTACTTGCATTCCTGTGACACAGTCTTACACGTGTACATAGTCTGAAGCTATATATTAAGATATCAGATACTCTTAACTCATTGCTAGTACAATATATCGATTAGAGAGTCGACAAATATCCAAAACAACTGTGTGGTCAAAATATTTAAAAACTCACATATACAAATAAACAAAATATATCATTCATCATTTTTTTGAAACGCTGAGAGGCAGCTTCATCCATTAAGGATTTCAATTGAACACACGGTGAAGTCTAACTTCTTAAGACAGGGGCGTAGCGAAATGGGGTTCTGGGGTGTCCGTGACTGTTCCCCCCCCCCCCCCCCCCCCCC